CAAAATAGTTTAATAAAGTTCAAACAAAAACAATCAACTATGATAAATCATCCAAAAATCCCAAACTATTAATCTACTACCATGTCTTAGAATCAAAGAAATTTAGCTACTCATGTTTGATTTCAAATACATAGACATATTAGAAATCATCATGAGAAAAAAATAAGTTCAAAAGAGAGAAAGAAAAACTAGAAATCCTGTGGTTGATCTTCTCTTCTTCTCAATTGCTTCTCTTCTTCCCAATTGCCTCTCTTCTCCTTATGTTCTCTACCTTTCTCCTTCAGAATAGGGTTAATATGCCTTTTATAATGTCCAAAACTCTTCTCCTTATCCAAAAAGGCAAGGGTTTAAAAACTGCCCGCGTATGCGACACGACCCGACACGCCCGTGTCACAGGTCGTGTCGCGGGTCGTGTCAGGTACCTGGCTTCGAAATCCTTCTGCTGAGGTGACATGGCCTCTGACACGGGCATGATGCCGGTGTCACTGCCCGTGTCACAAATCTACACTTTATTCTTCACTTGTTTCCCTCGTTTCTTCCATTTTTTTCATCCGTGCATCAATCTTTCATCATCCCGGGGGTCTTAGGTACTCACCATGCACCTCCAATAGCCAAAAGCTCTACAAATATGTGAAAATATCTACAAAACAAGCACGTGTAATACCTTTCCAACAAATACAGAATTAAAGCACAAATATACAATTTGTACACCAATAATGCGACAAATAAACTCAAGATACTAAATGAATATGGTGTAAAATCACACATGAACAACAAGGTACCAAAATAAATAAGTAAAATATAGAGCATGAAAATGATATGAGATACAAGGTCGTGTTAGAAAGAAAAAAAGAAAGAGAACGTGAAAAGATTCACATAAATCTAGCAAAATCTCACCAATATTGATGAGATTTCTGTTGAGACTTTTCCTTTGTAATTTTGTTACAAAAGTCTCCAAAAGTGTCAAATTTTAAAAAGTCTCACAAAGTCTTTCTGTTTTGAATATCAGGTGACTTATAAAGACTCTCAGAATGTTTTAATTGAATACACTGAGACTTTTAGAGATTTATTAAAAGTTATTAAAAGTCTCAATTGAATACAGGTAAACTTTTTAGAAGTCTTTAAAAGTTCTAATTGAATACACCAAAATTCTAAAAGTCTTAAAAAAAATCTCTAAAGTTGCAATTGAATACAACCCCCTAAGACTGTCCGGCCTAAGTTGTGTTAATCAAACGTATTAAATCACGCAACATGAAACACACTCGTATGAATAATACGTCCGAGTGTGTGTATGATCATGTGAACGAATAAATCATATGAGTGTGTATGACCGTGCAATTTGGCGGTTAAAATATATACTCGTATGAGTTTATTTATGTACATGTGATTTGATGGTTCAGACCTCTACTCGGCCCATTGTCTAATCTCGTGGTGTTTGACGGCTCCAATAGCATATGGACGTGTAATTGGACGGCTTAAATCGTTTATGAGCGTATGATTTGACCGGTCAGACCTCTACCTACCCCATTATCAATGCTCGTGTTGTTTGACGGCTCAAATCATATGGGCGTATAATTGGATGGCTCAAATCATGAGCGTGTGATTTGACGGTTCAAACTTCTGTTCACCCTGATATGTGCATGGCCTTGTGGTTTGACAATTTAATCGTGTAGGGGCATCTGATTTGACGGTTCAAATTTACACCCGAATGGGTGTATGTATGTGCTAGTGATTTGACTCTTCATACTTTTGTCCACCTTAGTGTGTAAGGGCGCGTGGTTTATCAGCTCCAATTAATCACGTGTGACCGTAAAATTCGACAGTAAACAGACTCGTGATTTGACAACTCAAAATCATGTATGAATCTATGATTGCTTTTGTCCACCTTAGTGTGTAAGAGCATCTCTAATAACCCTCCTACACAAACCTCCTTTATCTATTTTCAATATGACACATCATCCAAAACCTCATTCTTACTCCTACACATATAAACCTCCAATAATAGCAAACCTCATAAACCTCTTTTTTATCGGTCCCACATGTTTTCCACTTATTTTTTTTTAATTAATAGTATACTCTTATTTTTTAATATTTTTAAAACTATAACTTAAATTTTATTTTTATATAATTTAAATGTTTCACATATTTATCATAATACATACAAAAATAATAATGTAATTATATGTAACTATATTGCACTATTTAATATTAAAAGGAAGGAATACATTTTTGATTAAGTTCAATTTATATTGAATTAATATATATATATATATATATATATTTAATATTTATATATTTCTATATA